TTAAAACATTGATTATATGAAAGAATTGAAAAGTAGTAACCCTTATTAGTAGACGAAATAATGCTTAAATTACTGAACACCATAGGAATTGAAAAACACAGCTTCAATAAAAACTGCCAGAAGTTTAGTGGAAGAAAGAGAAATATTGAAGTGATTTCTGTTTTTAAATGTAAAGTTCTAGCCCTCCTTATAATTCTTAAAGAGTATTTGAACACCCCAAAATAAAGAGAACTAAAAAGAAAAGCTACAGTTAATGCTATTTGTTTATGATTCATTCTGTTCTTTTATGTTTAACTTTATAGATCATCTTTGAGTACTATTTTTTTCCCCACTGATAGAATTTTTCACATTATCTGTCATAAATATAGTATCCTACCAGGTCAGGTATAAGTATTGTAATTTATATAACCACTTTCTCATTGTTAAGTATTTAAGTAGTTTTTCTTCTTTCAATTAAATAATATTTGAGTAATATCATCACAAAAAGGAACCTACTTCATTTTGTTGTATTTTAGAGTATTATACTTTTTACAAATTGAAGATTATGGAAGTGGCCACAGACTAGCTATGTCGAGCTAGTATTTCCTAGCAGTACGTGGTTAACAGTTTTTAGTAGTTAAGTATTTTAAAATTAATGCACATACACTGCCTTTTTAAACATACTACAACTGTATACTTAATAGAACGTAGTATAGTGCATACACAACTTTTAGATGCATTGGGAAGCCAGAATATCCATGGGGCTTGCTTTATTGTAGTATGTGCTTTATTACAGTAGCCCGAAGTTAACCTGCAATATCCTCAAAGTGTGCCCATAATGATATCTCTGATTTTAGTCTTGATTCTGAAAATGCAGGCTTGTAGAGTTCAGTGATAGAAATACTTTAGAGGTTCATAGTTCAGATTGCATTCAAAAGTCAGTACCAATTTACTGACATTAGCTAGCATTCTTAGCTACCAAAGTGATAATTATGTGTGTGTGTGATAGAAATTTTTTTTTAAAGAATTCACTAGCTTTCAAATTTATATATCAAGATAATCCAGAAAACCATTAAAAATGGACACGTGGAGTTAAAACGTTTGGCTGACCGTGTATATATTTTATTTTAGTAAAATCTAAATGGTAAGCAGAGGTCATTGTTTATATTCATAGTGTCTTAGACATGGAAAAATGCTTCTAATTTTTCCAACATAAAAGTATTTTTTTCAGGGGCTGGAGATAGCAGAGTGGGTAGGGCGTTGTTTGCCTTGCACACGGCCAACCCGAGTTCGGTTCCCAGCATCCCATATGGTCCCCTGAGCCCGCCTTGAGTAACTCCTGAGTGTAGAGCCAGGAGTAACCCCTATGCATCGCCAGGTGTGACCCAAAAAGCAAAAAAAAAAAAAAATTTTTTTTTTTTCGGAGGGCTGGACAATAGCACAGCAGTTAGAGTGTTTGCTTGCACAGCCGACCCAGGTTTGATTCCCAGCATCCCATTTGGTTCCCTGAGCACCGCCAGGAGTAATTCCTGAGTGAATAGCCAGGAGTAACCCTTGTGTATCGCTGGGTGTGACCCCCCAAAAAATGCTTTTTTTTATGAGAAGAGTGACAGAACTGAATGACTGAAAATTCTTCTAATTTTTCCAACATAAAGAATACTTTTTTTATGAAAAGAATGACAGGCTGACTTGAAAGATGGCGTTTGTATTTGAACATTGTATGGGGTGTCCAGTTAATAAGATTTGTTCATTCTGAGTTTGGGAGTTTAATATAGTAAGAGATATTCTTATAAAATTAGAAAATAGTAGAGATCAGTTATTTAGGTTGCTGAAATGTATGCCATTTTGTTTTCTAGTCAGTGAACAAGTCATTAAGATAATATAAAAAAGTTCAACTAGAGTTTATTCCTAAATAACAAAGAAGAAATAAAAATTACATATTTAAGAATTACAAAAATTGGGGCTAGGTGATAGTACAGTAAGTAGGGCCTTTGCCTTGCATACTGTGACTGACCTGGATTCGATCCCCAGAAGTGATACCTGAATACAGAGGTTGGAGTAACCCTGTGCACTGCAGGGGGTGGCCTGTCCACAGATTCCACCCCCAAAATCATGAAAACTGAATTACTTTATACAGGTAGTAGTATCTGAAATGGGCTGGAGCAATAGCACAGCGGTAGGGTGTTTGACTTGCACGTGGCTGACCCAACCGACCTGGGTTCAATTCCTCCACCCCTCTCGGAAAGCCCAGCAAGCTACCAAGAGTATCTCGCCCACAGGGCAAAGCCTGGCAAGCTACCTATGACGTATTTGATATGCCAAACGCAGTAACCGCTCAAGCAAATCAATGAACAACGGGAGGACAGTGACAGTGACAGTAACAGTATCTGAAATAGGCAAAGTAGTAATTTTGAAATATTTTTAAATGGTATTTCAGTGATTTAAATTTAAATAAAAATGTTATTCATAATTTAGTATTATTTCACAATTTAATTAAAAACCAAAATACAAACTTTATTATTTCATCATATTATAGAAAGTGTCTATCATATTAATGTGTTAATGAAGAATTGCTGAAAAGGCATTGTGAAATATTTTGTTTCCTATAGCTGGTTATGAGAATCATATAATGTCACGCGGCCACGATTTTCGATTTCTGCAAAGAGCCAGATAATTACGAGATTGGTTTCTGTGTGTCTGGTGTTATGGCTGTGCTGGAGAGCTGCTCGTGGTGGGTAACTCGTGACCTCAGTAGGATGTGAGGGACGTGCCAGTACTGCCCCCCTTCCCATGAGACTGCAGTTGCCCCATCAACACCGGCTTGTACCTGGCTTTCCAATAAGCTCTGAGGCGGCAGCCACCTTGCTGCCAGGCGGGGAAAAGGTGGAAGGGAGCAACACTCTTTCCCTCCTGGGGAGGCATGGCGCCATAGTTTAATGCATGGTCCATTCACTTTTCTTCTGAAAGCTGTTGGGCTCTGGACTAAGCCCTTATGCCTCTGGAGCCATGGCTGTGCCAGAGAGCCGCTTGTCGGGGGCAACTTGTGACCTCGGTAGGGCATAAAGGACGAGCTGGTACCACCCTTCTTCCCATGAGACTGCAGTTGCCCCGTCACTGCTGGCTCATACCTGGCTTTCTAATAAACTCTGAGGTGGCGGCCACCTTGCAGCCGGGCAGGAAAAAGGCGGAAGGGAGCAACACCCTTCCCCCCTCAGGAGGCATGGCACCATAGTTTAACGCATGGTCCATTCACTTTTCTGCCGCAAGCTGCTGGGCTCTGGATTAAGTCCTTTTGCCTCTGGAGCCATGGCCGTGCCGGAGAGCCACTTGTTGGGGGCAACTCGTGACCTTGGTAGGGCGTGAAGGACGAGCCGGTACAGCCCCCCTTCCCATGAGACTGCAGTTGCCCCGTCACCGCTGGCTCATATCTGGCTTTCCAATAAGCTCTGAGGCGGCGGCCACCTTGTATGCAGTCCAGATGCATTTCTGCCAAAAGCTGCTAGGTTTCGAGATTTGTTTCTGAGTCTCTGGGATCATGACTATTAATTAGCTTGATCAGGAGCCAGAGATGCCATTTGTAGGCAGCAACGCAGGGTCTCGCTGGGATGGGGAGGAAAGGGCTGGTTCCACCCCAGTCTGGTGAGGCCCCACGTGTCTGGTCAAACCTGACTGTCCTGTGTCCTCTGGAGGATGGTGGTCACTGGGCCGCCAAGGAGAACAGGCCAAGGCACGAAACCTCTTTTCACCTCAAGTGGCCCAGCACCAGAAACCTACTGTAGGAACAGGATGCATTTCTGCCAAAAGCTTTTGGGTTCCGAGATTCATTTCTGAGTCTCTGGGATCATGGCCATTAAGCAGTTCGATCAGGAACCAGAGAGGCCATGTCTCCAATTGTATAGCTGTGCCAGAGGTGGTTTGTGGGTGTGTCTCCCACATACATAACTTTTGGCCATTTACTTTCTTGGTAAACTTTGCCCCAAGTTTTTGGGGTCTAGCCAAAGGCACAGCATCAATTTTGAGGTATCTGAAAGTCTGACAGTGCCATCAGGCTGCTGATACACTCTCCTCATAGGTACAGATTGACCTGCTGGCATCACCATACCCCCGACAACTTAGGGTTTTGCTAAGCTCTGCTTAGTCTAAGAAAGAGAACATTGACCTTACGAACTTTTTAAGTCTTCAAAAATTTCCTTCCCAAAATGGACATTTCTACTTTAAATTTACTGAGTAGTCAGCAGCTATTTCTCTTAAATATAATACTTTGCAAAATTAATATTGGGAACATTTGAACTATTTTCAGTATATTAGAATACCTAAGAAAAACCACAAATTTATGCGTGATTCACATGCAGAGATTAACTTAAAAGTGGATAATGATGTCATCTGTGAGAAGCATCAGGCATGTGGATGGGTGATAGTCATCACCTGGTACTGAAAGAGAATTTTACTTAATAAAAATGAAAAACAATTATGAATATGTGCAGTTTGAGGGAGAAAATATTACAGAACATATTTATTAGGGAAATTTGAGACCAGGTATTGCTGGTGCAGAAGAAAAGTTGAAAATTGTCACTACTGAGTAAAAAAGTACTCAAGTTCTACAAAGATATTAGAAGCCTTAGGAGTTAAAATTAGAAGATTTGGTGAAGGCAATTATCAGACCTTCATATGAATAATTTTTTGCGATTGTTTTTATTAAAGACCTTAAAGGAAAAAAAATTGTGTGTCAGTGGGCAGGGGTTGGGGGACACATCTAGCAGTGCTCAGGGATTACTCCTGGCAGGCTCAGGGGACCATTCCGGGTGCCAGGGATCAAACCTGGGTTGGCTATATACAAGATAAGTACCCTACCTGCTCTACTATCTCTCTGAAGAGAAAAACTTTTACATACTTATGCCTAGTTTTGACTGGTCTGCCTGGTAAGAGTTATACTGTACTTTGTGGTAGAAGAATACTTTCCCTTTACTACTTGGCCACAAATAGTTTTGTGTAAAAATGAACATTGTAATTTTTCTTAACAGCTGTAACGACTTATGAAGATCTTGGACTATTTGCATTTGGATTTCCTGGAAAGGTATTCTTTTTCTTTTCTGCTGTATTTAACACGTAAAAAAATTTTTTTCCTTCTGTTTTCAGTTAAAAGAGCAGTATATATAAGGGAAACAAATTAGGGGGATACAAGAAAACTAAAGTGAAGAAAGACAAAATGTTGGAAGCAGAGAGAAAGAAATCTCTCTGTATGCCCTTCCTAAAAGAAAGCAATAAATTTATTTGAACACCTAAATATTTAGTATGTTTAACCCTTTTAAAAAAGAACAATGCTTTGGATAGTTTTAAAAACAGCAACAATTGTCTGGATTTTTTGGGGGAGTCTGGGGTGGGGGTGGGTGGGGTCGTAAATTTTCCTTATTAATTTTGCTTATACCCTGAATAAATCTTCATAGAAACAGGAAAAGAAAAAAGCATAGAATTAAAAAGCATGACTATTAAACTGATAATTAGAAAACCATAATTTAATTAATTTAAATGAACAGTGCTACCAGGTTATCTGTCAATCCTTGTATTTGTGAGGAAATGGAAGTCCATATAAAGGGGCCTAGTTATCCACAGTTAAATTAAAGCCAGTATTACAGTTTAGGACTCCAGAGTCTAAACTTTTCTTCTCAGAATAAGAGAAATAATAGTGTTTATTGGACACTCATTTGTAATGAAAAAAAAAATCAGAATATCTACCTTCAGTGGATCCACATTCCAGCAGTTGGTCATGGTTGAAGCTGGAGCGATAGCACAGCGGGTAGGGCGTTCGCCTTACAAGCGGCCAACATGGCCGACTCGAGTTCGATTCCTCCGCCCCTCTCGGAGAGCCCGGCAAGCTACCGAGAGTATTCGATATGCCAGACACAGTAACAACAAAGTCTCCAATGGAGACGTTACTGGGCCCGCTCGAGCAAATCGACGATCAACGGGAGGGCCTTTACCTTTACCTTTTACTTACACTTAGGTATTTTCATATTAATGAACCTGAAAACTTTTGCTTAAGTTTTTGTTTCTGCCAATGATTGGGCTCTAAAGTATGGAACACTTCACAGATTTGCATGTCATTTTTGCACTGTGGCCATTTAATCTCTGTGTTATTCCCACTTTAGTATATGGGCTGTCAAAGGAGCGCAGCTCTAGACATTTTCAGTCCCTGTGACAAAGATTATATAAAGGCTTGGTATATGACAAACTAATTCAGATAACTATATGATTTTTCTCTTATGCAATTCTGTATTGCATGGCATGCTTCAAGCTCTCTTCAGGAGTATGTACATGCTCTAGTGTGTGTAGCAAAATGGTAAAACTAGCCAAAAAGATAAAGAGTGGGGAAGGGGGCGGAAAGAGAGAGAGATAGGAGAGAGGAGAGAGAGAGGGGTGCGAGAGAGAGAAGAAAGAGAAAGAGAGAGAAAGAAAATGAACTCTTAGGCTGATGCTATGCTTCTAGGGTGTTGTGAGATACCATCTTTTGGATATTGGGTATCAAGACACCCTAAGACAATAGGGGCCACAACCCACATGCCCTTTCAGGCAGGTAAGCTAGCCAATGTCAGATTGACACAGGCAGCTTTAGACAGCCAGACAACAGAGAGAGACACTACTTCACACAGCAGGTGAAGGATGGACGCAGAGCAAAGGCACTCATTGTAAGATTTCTTGTCTTTGTTACAATCAAATGCATTAAATGAAGTTGAAATTTTAAAGAAGAAGGTAGAGAATGAACTCAGATATATTGACTTAATTTTAATTTTTGAGACTTTGATAATCACTGATTACTACTTAAAACTTCTCACTGCTTAGAATGACTACCAAGAAAAATCTCAAAAGTATGTTTTATCATAACAATGAAGCTATTAAAGAATTGTTTTTTTATGTGGTGATAAGTTTTATGTATCATAAATGTCTGACACGTGTCAGTTTCTCTTTAGCATCTGCTTTTAAGTAGTAGTTACTGTATTATAATAAAATATTGATCCTTGTATATTTCCTTTTCATCTTCTGGTTGCCTTTGTTCTTTTATAGATGATAGTAGCAGGCACCATAATAATTCAGAACATTGGAGGTAAGCATTGAAAATGCAATTTATACATAGATATGATAAAAAGCAGTTTCTTTAGTTTCTTGCCATACTACAGGTATAGCTAGGAAAAAAATGAACATTTGTAGATATAGACTTAAGTAACTTCAAAAGTTGTGTGCACTCTCATTTACTTTAATAAGAAAAAAATTTTAATTTTGGATGCTAGGTTTTGAATACAGAGCCTCATAAATGTGAAGCGTGTATTGCACGCTGAGCTACAGCTCTGATCCCTGGTCCCTTTTTCTCTCTAATTTTCAATTTGAAGTATTTATGTCTGTATATGTTGTAGGGGTACAATTTCATGCCTCTTCAAAACATATGTTACCATACCAGAGCTCCCACTAAAATACCGTGTTTCATATTCCATCACAGAGTCTGGGCACGCTTTGTTTTTGTTTTATTTTTTTCTGTTTCCTTTCTCTGTTTCTGTTTCCTGCAGATGAGTGAGGTTACCTGATAATTGTCTTTCTGCTTTTGACGTACTTTGTTTAACATATCTCCTTCCACTTCCATCTGTGTTTCCGTGTATGTCTTTGGTTGCTTTCTTTTCTTGGACCACACCTGGCTGTGCTCGGGGCTTAGTCCTGACTCTATGCTCAGGGATCACTCCTGGTGGGGTTCAGGGGACCATATGAAATGCTGGGGATTGAACCCAAGTCGGCCAGATGCAAGGCAAGTGCCCTACCACTGTACTATCATTCTAGCCATAAACTACATCTTTTTTTTATCAACTCATCTTCATTTTTCTTAGAACAAAGCAAATGATTTAACTGTTTTTATTACAATATTTATTATCACGATCATGATCACGATCTTCCCGTTGTTCATCGATTTGCTCGAGCCGGCCCAGTAACATCTTCATCATGAGACTTGTTGTTACTGTGTTTGGCATATCGAGTACATCACGGGTAGCTTGCCAGGCTCTGCCGTGCGGGCAAGATACTCTCGGTAGCTTGCCGGGCTCTCCAAGAGGGGAGGAGGAATCGAACTCAAGTCGGCCATGTTGACTGCGTGCAAGGCAAATGCCCTACCGCTGTGCTATCGCTCCAGCCCTAATATTTATCATATAGTTAGATATTTTGCAATAATTATAATTATCTTACATTCCTTGAATGTTCATGATTTTTTAAAATTTAAGTCTTTTTAGTTTATAGTGCTATTAAAAAATGGATTCTCAAGGATGTAATTACAGCATCACACCCGTCACCACTGTGCCCATCTTCTTCCCCCAAGGATCTCAGCTCCCACCCTCTCATTCCCCCACCCCAACTCAACTATATGGATCAGTTCTTCCATTATGTTGCCTTTGGACCTTTGTGCTACTTTGCTATGTATCTTTAAGTCCCATATGTGAGAGATATTATTATGAATCTGTTCCTTTTAATTCAGTTGACTTTATTCATTTTCAGTCTTCAACAATTTTCTTTTTTAATCGTTAAGGGAACTTGGTTACAATAGTGTTAGTGCTCACCAAATTTTTGGTTAGGTACAGTTTTCCTATGTTCAGAGTGAAATTTTTTTCATTTGATTCTAAAATATTTCCTTCCCCTCTGTTTTTGCTCTCATCACCCACATCGATGGATTATACTCCTTTAGTAGGAGTAGGTAGTGTTCCTTCAACTTTGGTTTGGTTGGGAACAGGCAGTGTACCATTGTAGCAAATTAAAAGTAATCAATTAATTTTAAAAAGATAAGGTAGCGGCTGGTAAGAACTTTCTCAAATCCTTGACTTTAAGCTGGCCTAGGTAGAAGACTCTAAATTTACCTCCTCCCACAATCACAGTAAATATGCATCAAAATAAGAGTTAATCTATATTGAAGCAACCCCCAAACCTTGGTGAATAGAGATTCTTTAGCAAGGTGAATAGAAGAGATTCCATTTACTGTCTGGAAGGAAGAAGCACTGCTCTGCCACCCACACCTCCTTGTCACTAAGGAGCAGAATTTTTCCTAGGGGCGTGGTTGTGTTTTATACCACACACCCTATTCTACAATCCATCATAGCAGAAACTAGTCCTTGGAACTTTATACACTGAGAGAGTCCAAAGGAAAAGGATGCAGAATGCCAAGGATAAAGAGACTGAGAAATAGTCTTGATGAAATCATGAGCACATAGATCCCCCTGCCCTGGGAACAAAAAACAGTAATGCTGTCTCACCGCAGATACCACACCTACAGCATTTGCTGGAGAGGCAGGCAATTTAAATGTCAGAGACTCCAGGGGAATCATCTTGGTTTGCTGTAAATAGCCCTGATCGGCGCCATATTGGAACACAGCCTCTAGACTAATGCCATTCCTTTATGAGAGCTCCACCTGCCCCTGGGATGCAACCTCTTTAGCTGGTGGTAGAGCTGCAACAGAAACCTTGGTTCTTTGACTCTCAAAAACATAGAAGCTCTTCAGAAGCCAGAAGTAATTTTCCCAGAGTTGAATAGGAAAACAGGCTTCTGAAAGAACGAAGAAGGGGAGGCAGTACAGGGCAGTGTTACAGTTGAATCCACAGAGAGCCTGATCAGGAGTTTAAAGCCCTTCTTGGCAGCATTTGAAAGCATCTTTCCAATCCTGCAACTCCCTTGTTTGTATCTTCCCCTGTCCGTTGCCAGGAGACATTATATTTGATGACAGGAACTGCTCATGGCCTGCTGGTCTGCGTGTGCCTGATTAGGATTTACTGCACAGGCAAGCAAAGATTGGCACCTGGACTTCAGGCAGCACTAGCCCAGTGGAGATCAGTGAATGTCACATTGCCTTACAAGTGGCGGACCTGCTCATTACTGTCACCCCAGGAAGGGTAGGCTACTTACTATGATACTGCAGGGTCAGGGCTAGGAATTTTCCCCCTGCCTTGCTGGAGGGGAAATTTTATAGTTAAACATCCTGATTGGGGAACAGTGATAGTACAGGGGTAAGTCGCTTGCCTTGCATTGCAGCTCCGTCCATTTCACTAGCACTACATGTGGTTACCCAAGCACCTCCAGGAGTGATCCCTGAGCGCAGGAGTAAGCCCCAAGTATGCCCTGGTGCATCCACAAAACAAAACAAAACTCCTGATTAACTTGTCTTGAAGACTGAGTGGTGTGTTGGGGAGGGGAATACATGGGGACTACCCACATAGCTTTAGTAGTTTAAAGGAAAAAATAGAGATGATTGACCATACACTTTGGATTTTACATAATATTATATTGTTAGAGGGAAATTTGATCATATTTCTTACATCAATTATTTTTTTTGCATCAATTCAAAATAATTTAAAGATGACAGCTTTAGTAAAACTCAACTCTGACATTCAAGCAGTTTGGGTAACTTCTCTTTTAAGTATTCATCACCCAAATTCCATCTGTAATTGCTTTATTGGTCAAGAAAAGAATTAACATTCCAACAATAAATTGTACTTCCCACTGTTCTAGAAATACTGAACATTTATGTTTTAATTATTTTCATTTTCATTAAAATGTTGGTGAATGAGCAAAAGTCTTTCTTGGATGCATTCCCAAAATTTCCTTCTTACATACCTTACTCTTCACACTAGATGTCAGGAAAAAGTCTCTTCCTTTTTTTTTTTTTTGTTTCTGTTTTTGGGACATGCCTGATGATGCTCAGGGGTTACTTCTGGCTCTGCATTCAGGAATCACTCCTGGCAATGCTTAGGGAACCAACTGGGATGCCAGGGATTGAATCCCGGTCGGTCACGTGCAAGGCAAGCACTATACTATCACTCCAGCCTCTCTTCCTTTTGGCTCTATACAATACCATTGATTTTGGGCTCTACTTTGGAATAATTTATTTATAATTTTAGCTAGTACTAGTAATGTCTCTGCATTAGTAATGTCTTCGATATCAGTATATGTTCTGATATTTAGCACAGCGGGTACGGCGTTTGCCTTGCACGTAGCCAACGTGGCCAACCCGAGTTCGATTTCTCCACCCCTCTCCGAGGGCCCGGCAAGCTACCGAGAGTATCTCGCCCACACGGCAAAGCTTGGCAAGCTCCCCGTGACGTATTCGATATGCCAAACACAGTAATAACAAAGTCTCACAATGGAAACGTTACTGGGCCCGCTCGAGAAAATCGATGAACAACGGGAGAACAGTGACAGTGACATTAATTCCTTTCTACGTGAGTACTAAGGGTTGTGACATTTTGTTTGGATCAGGTTAAGTATTTAATATTTTTGCTTAGTAATTTGTGTAGTATTTTCTATCTAGGCATTTGGAGCCAAATATGTGAACCTGGCATAAATGCCGGTTATGTATCTTCTATATCCTTCTCCCTAATTCTTTATTCAATCTTGTATGTACCTATTTCAGCATTTATTGATATTAGGCTGAAGATTTATTTTTTAGTACAGCATTTTCTTTATTTTTTTAAAACTTTATATTGAATCCAGGGCTGGAGCGATAGCACAGCGGCAGGGCGTTCGCCTTACAAGCGGCCAACATGGCCGACCCGAGTTCGATTCCTCCGCCCCTCTCGGAGAGCCCGGCAAGCTACCGAGAGTATTCCATATGCCAGACACAGTAACAACAAAGTCTCCAATGGAGACGTTACTGGGCCTGCTCGAGCAAATCGACGATCAACGGGAGGGCCTTTACCTTTTACCTTTACCTTTATATTGAATCACTGTGAGATATATCCTTACAAAGCTGTTCATGATTGGATTTCAGTCATACAGTATTCCAACACCCATCCTTCCACCAGTTTAATTTCCCAGAACTAGTGTCCTCAAGTTTCCCTCCCATCACTCCCTGCCCCCTATCTATCTCTTCATGGCAGGCACACTCTTGCACTCTCTTTCGCTCGCTCTCTCTCTCTCTCTCTCTCTCTCTCTCTCTCTCTCTCTCTCTCTCTCTCTCTCTCTTTCTCTTTCCCTCTCCCTCTCCTTCTCCTTCTCCCTCTCCCTCTCTCTCTGACTCTCCCTCCCTCCCTCCCCCTCCTTTGGGCATTGTGGTTTGCAATATTGATACTGAAAGGTTTTCAAGA